TTGAGCTGTTTGCTTACTTTAGCTAAGTTTCTTTTCCTTTTCTCTCCCCCTTCCTTTTTCTTTTAATGGTATAGGGGAGCAGTTTTTGGTAGGGTGTATATCTCTATTGCCTAGGGTAGCCTTGAACTCAAGCCATCCTCTTGTGTACACACATTCTACATACATCCATTCATCCTTAGCCTTCAGTGGCTAAGATTACAGGTAAGAGCCAGCACACTGCCAAACTAGTTCAGTGGTTTTCAAACTTGAATTCACCTGAAAGGTTTGTTAAACACAGACTCCTAGACCCCACACTGAGGCTTTCTAACAAGTTCTGGGTGCTGCTGGTGCTGCTTGCATGGAGGCTGTACTCTGAGAAGCTCTGGACACACTGACAAGGAAAGCACACTATTGAGGTGAGGTCCCTAAGTCAGCAGCAGTGATTATGATCTTGAATGAAACTCAGTTCATGCACCAACCTGTATCAGGAAGTTGAAGAGCTGAAGGATGTATTGGCATCTTGGCATTGAGAATTCATACAGTTTGTGAACATGAGGCCCTATAGGTCAAGCTTGTCTGCCGAATATTGTGGAAAAATAAAAAAAACTGATGAAAGCCGTGTGGTGGTACACCCTCTAATCAGAGCACTTGGGAGGTGGTGGCAGGAGGAGCAGGAGTTCAAGGCCAGCCTGGGTTATATGAGACCCTGTCTCAAAACAACAACACAACAAAAAAGACACTGACTAAAACATGGCTCCTTTTTGGCCATTACCTAATCAGCGAGATAAGAGATGTCATAACCAAAAGTGTCAGAAGAAAGAGCTTCAGACTTAAGGAAGAGAGGCTATGTTTGGTTGAAATGTCAGAAAGTAAAAGACCAAGAAGTAGAAGTTCCCAGAAGAGCAAGGCTATCTTGAAAAGAGTTTTAAAGTATCATAACAATAAAGCTTGAGTATTTCAGCCAGAAAGGTTGAAATTCAAAACCTAGTTCTGGGCTGCATTAAGGTTTTGGATGGCTGCTGCTGCTGCTGCTTCTTCCCCATCCCTTTCCTCTCCCTTCCCCCTCCATCTTCCCTCCTCCCTTCCT